TCTGTGGGAATCACAGTTCTGTCCCAGCTGGTTCCTGGAGCACTCCTTTGTTTGGTCATACTTTGGATCAGAACTTGTAAATAATGTTGTTTTCTGTAGCAGGGTACTTTTTGAATAAAAAGGGATGCAAGCAACTTACATTTCAAAGTAACAAGTAATTACGAAGCTGCTTTGGGGTAGAATGAGAGCGCTTTCTTATTTGGTTCAAAAATTAATTTGGTTAAAGTGAATGGTTTAAAGCATTTTCAGGATGCATTTTTCATATAATTATTATCTTGACAATTCTAGGTGATAAGGGAAGTATTGCTTTGTTTTGTGTTTTTGTATTTCCCCAGTACAATATGAGAAATAACCAGTAGGAGGAACTAGACAGTACGTCCAGTTACTCTCTTACTCTTAGGAGAAGAACAATAATAAGGGTGACCTGGCTGCCACCAAGCTCCTTTTAAAAACCAAAGTTGTGCTCTTGAGCTGGTATTTGATGTTTGGTAGGATGATGGTAGTCTGTGTGTAGAAGAACTGTCTGCAATTCTGTTGTCATAGAGAGTTTATTACTCCATGGCATTTACTGTAGACTTAATTTGATTTGCAAACTTTGTTGCGGTTGGAGACCAGGCTTATGAATTCATAAGACCATGTTTGCCATGGTCTGATGGGGCTTTTCCTGTTGGCTTGGCAAGCATTTCTGTGGAAGTCCTAGTTGCCTTCTGGACTGGGGAAATGACTGGAGAGTTTGCCATAGTTGCTCTGGGATATAGTCTTCTACTGAAGTAGGAGATCCTAGTGAGCTCCTTGGTTTTCAAGGGAGTTGGAGAGCCGCGGTAACAAGACAAATATTCGGAAAAGATGAAATGAATCCTGCTGAATTCAGGGTTGAGTCCATTTGAAAGGCTTTTCCATGGTCATGGCAACAGTTAAAGGTCCACTCCATTATTACTGTATTTGCGCAGTCGAATAGCCAAGGTGCTTGGAGTGATCAGAGGCCTACAGTGTTCTGAACGATGAGAAGAAATAAATTACACTTTATTTTTCTGACCATATTCCATGATACCATGCACTAAAGTCTCTTAAATCTGCAGATGTGGATTCCACAACTGATACAGGCCCAGTTGATTCAACTGTGGCCTTTGCTTGTCCCAGGATAAGAACTTTCCTGTGTGTCACCATTTGATTAGGTAGGTGGATGGGAACCTTGGAAAGTTCAAATCTACCAGAGTGCTAAACCCTTGCCTTTCATGACTTGTAAAAGGAGCAGCAGATAACTGTGGCATTCAATGCATATGGAGAAATCAGTACAAAAAATGGTCAGTCTTCTCATGAATTTTTATATGGGATCTCTTCTGCAGAAATGCCACTCAGCACTGCATTTTTTTCTAGACACATGGAGACAGAATACAGAAAAAAAAGGGGAAATCTGAGTCTGTTTCCAGGGAAGAGAAAGACTGTCTATTAAAAATTCTAGTTAATTTACATTTTAATCACCTAAATACTGGTGCTTGCTGGATATTTTAGACACACATTTTAACAAGTTTGTCCGGACAACCATAATTCAAAGGAATCAAGGCAAGCAGTCTAGGCCATCTATCGATAATGTGGTGCAGGAATAACTAACAGTGGCTATAGCTAGAACTACCCTGTTTCCCCAAAAATAAGCCCTAGTTAAGTAAAACTTCGCCCTCCACCATTGTGCAGCAGCCAGAAGATGTCATGACTGTATTTGAATAAATGTAGATTGTTGTACATGAAAGAAATGAAACATCTCCTGAAAATAAGCCCCAATGCATTTTTTTCAAGCAAAAGTTAATATAAGACCCTGTCTTATTTTCGGGGAAACACAGTACATGCAGGGTAGAAATTGGTTCGAATGCAAAGTGACCTTTATTGTTTCACATGACATAAGCTCCACTGTGCTTTCAAATGGTGTGCATTGGCCAGCATTTTAAAGAGCAGTAGGGCTTCAGGTTAGAGATCCCTTTCTTCCTGTGGAGGAAGAAGAGTAGCAGAGGCCTCGCCTGATCCATGTGTACTGTAATAAAAACAGCCGCTGATGCTGACACATACACACCCACTGAGCAAGAACAATGTTGCCAGGCAGCCAGTGCTGGGAGGCTTCATAGCGACCTCAGCACAAGCCGGCTAGTATTATCCATGGGCTAGGGAGAGCCAGTGGCTCTGTTTTTGCCACATTAAAACACGTCATGTGATAAAAGCGGTTTTGCTTCGGTTTGCAGATAACCCGCAGTAAAAAGCTTACTATGAATTATCTGAAATGTGTAGTTCCAGCCTTTGTTTACAGTGCAGCAAACTCTGTCATCCAAATCAATGTCTCATTGCTGCTAACAGTGTTATGGTATCAGACCAAAGCTAATGTTATCATAAATTGGCCACAACCGAAGGCGAGTCTTATTTGCATTCCATTCTGCACACACCCTTAACAATGAAGGAAAATAATCTTATATGTTATAAAAGGCATTTGTACATTACAAATGTATCCACCCTTAAATTTTTGGAAGGAGGGAGGCTAAAAATTTGACAGTAAACCTTTGAGTGTAGCTGGGAAATAGATCTCTGTAGTTTAAAGCACTGATGATTAATCAATCAACAATGCTTTAAAATCTCTAAGTAATATTTATCACTGTCAAGTGCACTATCTAGATACATTTAATCTAAATAAGCATTTGACCTTGTCAGTGTTACCGGGGCATTTATTTAAAATTTCTGTCGAGTATGAAATTTTTTCATTCACTCTCACACATATACTTTCTAATATAGTTCAGAATCTTAGGAGCTGTGCTATATTTAGTTGTAATCAATGACTGTGCTTCAGTAACCTGAGTTTTTTTAGCTTTCCATAGCCAGCTGGATTAAGTTTCATGTGCAGTTATCTGATCAGATAAAGTAACTCAAGAGAAAAAGTGTACAATTCTGAGAGGTTAATGAATAATCTCATGCTATATCCAAATACTAATATATAATCATTTGAGGTTACAGATATATTGCACAGGTGCACAGCCTCTGCCCCTAGGCTGCTTCCTATGGGACCCCAGAGCCAGTACAACCTTACCCATTTTTCCCACCACAAGAGAAGAAACACAATTTCCTTGATTTCAAAATAGCTATGAACTTGCTGCTTTCAAAAGTGTGTTAATAATGATTCCACTGGAGAATGATGGATGGATATGTGTGTATGCATGTGTGTGCAATGCGGACATGCACATACAGTACATGGTCACCGGCTGACAGTAGACTGATGTAGCCCTCAAAGCCCATATGGTTGTGCCCATCCTAGTGTCTAGTTATAAATGAAAAATTGATTGATTCAAAGTTTAACTCAAAATCCTGTTGAATTTTTATGCTAAGGTAATGTAGTTGGCATAAATCTTGTTGGTGAACTGCCACAAGTTAAGAAGTTAGTGAGGCATTCGGACACAGAATCATGTGACTTGGTGTGCAACAGCAAATACTAACGCTAACTTCTTAACTTGTGGCAGTTAAACAGGATTTACACTACTGCCCTTGTCAAGGAGGCACAGCGAGGAATTGAATTTCCAACCTTTGACTCCACATCCAGAGAGAGACCTAAACCATTGAGCCAACCCCAGCCTTAAGCTTTAAGTTTATTGGATCCCAGGTAAAGATGGTTTGTTTAAATGTGCCAGTTTGCTTAAAGCAGGGGTCTCCAAACATTTCAGTATGAGGGCCACATAATATATTTTAAACATTTCCGAGGGCTGAAGGAGGGAAAGGGGACCCAATCGATCTCCCACCCCTGCTGTCTTGCAAAGAGAGCAGGGCTGGGGGATCGCTTAGATCAAGATTTGCTTCTCTTCCTATGTATGGGCTGGATAAAAAGGCAAGGCATGCTGGATGTGACCCATTTGGAGACCCCTGGTATCCAGCTTAAGACTGGGGTTCTATTCTGCTTATAGACAGCTGTTTTGTAATATGAAAATGACAGAATGCTACACAACAAAGGCAGTGCTTGAAGGAGGTGGGGCAGGGAAGCCAGGCCGCCACCTCTTAGTGGATGTCCACCAGAGGTGGTGGAGGTGTGAAGCGCCAAACACTTGTTCAACAGCTACATGAAATGACAAACCGGCAGTTTGTGCCCATCTCCCAAGTACTGTAAATAGGAAGTTAGCCACTTGCATTCCGCAGACACATATTGAAATATTTCATATAGTACTACAGTAATTGATCATGTAGCAGCTCTCATGTTTCTTTCTACAGGCAAGGAAAAAAAAGTTTAAACTCTTTTTCAAATATATTTTAATTTAGCTTCCTGAGAAGAGCAAAGGGTTGGATTTGATGGCCTTATAGGCCCTTTCCAACTCAAACTCCTGCATAGGCAGTGCAATCTCTTTAGATTTAGGGTGTATGTGCGTGTGTGTGCGTGCGCGTGTAATACTCAATCATTTGTGGCCCTCCAGATAGCTCAGTGAGTTAGGGATCTGGCTGTGGCACCAGAGGTTAGAAATTCAAGAGCCAGTCTCTTCTGGGATGCACACTCATTCTTGTCAGTGAGAAAAATTAATGGTGTGGGTAGATGAGCACTGGTATTTTTTTTAATGTCAGGAAAGCCACAGATTTCCCCATGTGTGGTCTAGTGTGAGGTTTAACTAATCTCTCCCCATGTGGAAAAAAAACCACTGAATCCTATGTCTTATGCTTTTGAGCTGTTCATTTCCCTCTTATCCCTCTTAGTTCAGTTTGTAAGCTATTTGTATTGTGTAAATACAGGCATATATTAATATATATTTATGTACACATACACATATATGGACGCTTGAGAGCCAGTGTGCTATAACAGATAGAACGCCGGACTAGGATTCAGGAGACCGAGGTTCACACCTCAACTCAGCCATGGATACTCATACGGCTGTGATAAAAATCACCTCTTTAATATCTCAAAGATCTTTGAAATCCTGCTAGAGTACAATAAATCATAATTAAATTGATAGCACATAACACATGCATACTTGAAAGAAGTAGTCAGTATACAATTTTTCCTTTATTTTAATAAGTTTGTTAGGTCATCACAATTAAAAAGTAGGTACCATCCATTTCATTGGCAAATATCTGAATGTATAAACATCAAATCTGAACAAGAATCACACATTATTTACAGGTGTCCCAGACACATTATTTTCTCCTCATAAATAGTACAGCCATGTCATTCCTCCCATTCCTGCATTCCTCAATGCATGTGCAGATAGGTTTAGAAAAATCATACTAAACCATGGTATAATTTTCCTTAACCCTCAAGATCTTTTTCTCCCATTTTGTGTGGCTTGTAGCAGCTTAAGAAGTTGAGGTGCAAAGGCAGTTCACAGTTAATGTTGCTCTCAGCACACACTGAAATGCATGTGGCAGTCAAACACAATCCAGTTATTATCAGCAAGTAGTTTGCTTACCCACTCCAAGCTCATCCTAAATCTTTCCATGAGGCATTCTCTCTCAAGAATAATAAATCTCTCTTATAATTGGATCCTTTATAGGCATCACCCCCTCAATGATCTTAAATGTGTTTTTGATTCCAGCAAGAGGGAATGATACTGGGGCAGAGGTGGTGCACAATAATCTCTTTGCCTTTCCAGTCTTTACAGAAAGAAGTCCTTAGCTTCTTGACAACGTATCAATCAAAAACTGATAAAATATTTCCAACATTTTCACAGTGCAGTAGTTTACGCCTTAACCAAACTGTTTCTGTAAATGTATACATATATAAGATAAAAAATTAAAAATTTCAATATAAAAATAGAATGCTTTGAAAGGATTTACACCAAAAAAACAAACAAACACAACAACAAAACAAACCCACCCACCCCGGTATTAATCCTACACCAAACAGTCTATACAGTAGAATGCACAAAATTCCACAGGGACAGAAACAGAAAATTATGCTCAATCAAAAGTTAAGAGCAAAGTTTTAAGAAAACACAACATTTAGTTGTCTGTTTTTAAAATCTTTATTTTGGTCGTTTTGAAGACATATGGCATGTCACAGTCTATAGAACTAGTGAATTTACTAAGTGGCCACTGACTGTATCATGCTCTCTTCTCAAATGTATTTACATGCGATACACCCAGCTTGCCACCTGTTTTATAGTGTTGTGTTCCGCTTGGTTCAGGACTGCCCAACATCCTTTTTGAGCTATTTACTTTTATTCTGCTTTAGCTTCTTCTTTGATTCACACACAACAATTGCTGAAAAATCTCTAGAGTTCCTGCCTAGGAACCATCTCATGTTTCCACCACAGTTTCTTAAACTACTCTCTGGTGTCCTACTCACAAATTTGTTCCATTTACTCTTTGGCCTATTAGTTATAGAGATGTCTCAAAGATCGCTTTCTTGTTTATTGGGAATGCCTTCTTGAAACACCTGTTATGCTCATGAATCTGGAAACCATTTTAGTAATGTTATCATGTAACTGTAAGCAGATTTCCAACTTTTTTTTAAATATGGAAATTATGAAGCCTGGACAATCTGACAAATACCCATTTGTTTTTTTCAACTAGCTGTAGGACAGCCTAAATGCAATCTTTGCAATCATGAAATATTATTCAGATATGTAATAACAAAAACTGCTGGCCAACAGTTGTAACTAATTTCTTAAATGCTTGGTCCCCCTGAGCTGTGAACCACAGCACTTATCAGTTGTACATCATATAATTATAACAGCAGTAGGATTACTCAGAAATGAGTGATCGCTGGTATTAGATGAAGTGTTGCAACAGCAATGGTGGTTGCTACAGCTGCCCATCGCACTCAACAAATTATATCTGGACAATATATAATCCTGTAGCTTTCAGCAACATGAAACTGTCTCCTTAAAATAGTGCAATTTGTACATCTCACACAAACATAAAACAGTGCTTTCACAAAAACCAGCTGTCAAAAAATTAGCTGGCCACTACTGATGGTTCTTTCCCCCTCCATGGCTGTATAATTAACATGCCTGGTCATGTATCTGCATCCCTGTCTATGTTATCCTGCGATGACAAAAGAGATGGGTAAGGCGCAACACATTTCACATTGACATAAGTGGCATTTACATGAACATAATGCTCCCCGATGAAAGTAGAGAAGATCATTGATATATCTGAAACTAACTCAGAAAACGCTGGCCGTAATTCAGGTTTTGGATGCCAACATTTGAGCATGACTTCATACCTGCAGTTGAAAAACAGAAAAGTGAGATCTCATCTATAAAATATAAACAATAAGATTTGTCAAATTTTGTATGAAGTTTCAGAAACTATTTTCTTACAGTGCATCTGGGCAATACTCAGGCTGCAAAAGCCTTCTTCCTTGTAGTAAGTAAACAGTGATATCAAAAGAGTTGACATCAGGGTAGGGTGGTGCTCCTCTCGTCATCAGCTCCCAGAGTAACACGCCAAAGGACCACTATAAGAAAGGTTCAGGAAGGCCATATCATAAGGCTGAAAGCTTCAGAACTTTTGATTTAAGGCATATTAATTAAATATTTTGCTAGAAGCAAAAGAATATGAAAAGGATCATGCTTTGAGAGTATTTCTGAGCAAATATTCTATTACAGAATAGAATGCCTGATGAATATGAACAGTTCAGACTATTTGTTTTTTATCCCAGCATTCTTGACAATGACTTAATCCCTGTGATTTCTTCTTTTATGTGGGTTTTGTGGGGAGTTACAACTGATCTAGTACAAAAACCATAGAGAGGTATTTGCTATATTGATGGAGGTTCTGATAATGTATGAAATATGTATGTAACATCGCTACCTTCAGATTGCCTGATTCAGGACTATCATGATCCTTCATTCACCCATCTATGTCATTTTGAGTGCCATGCGACTCACATTCTTTTCATCTCCTTCTACCCCAACCTATGTTATTGTGCATTGCTCATGAAATACATGCCTTCTGAGGTTAAAAAAAGAATGGCCCTGTCAGGAAACTTTAAGACACATTAGTTACTACCCTAACGCCAATGTTTCCTTCCTCAGCAAAGTGGTGGAGAGGGTAGTGGCTGATCAGCTTCAGGCTCCTTTGAATGAAACCAATGCCCTGGATCCATTCCAGTCGGGCTTCAGGCCGCACCATGGCACAGAAGGCTGTACTGCAATGGATGCAGGAGAATGGGTTGAGGCTGAACCCGGACAAGATGGAGGTCCTGAAGGTGGGTGGCCCCTCCATTGGCAGCTTGGGAAACTCCCTCTCCTTCGGGGGTGTGTGTGTGTGACTCTCAATGTAAAGAGTAAGGTTCGCAGCTTGGGAGTACATCTGGATCCAGTGCTCAGCATGTAAATCCAGGTGGCGTCAGTGGTCCCCTCCTCCTATTACCATTTGTGGCAGATTGCCCAGCTGCGTCCCTGTCTTGATGGTGGGGCCCTCACCACTCTGGTCCACGCACTTGTAATCTCGAGATTAGACCACTGTAATGTGCTCTACGTGGGGCTACCTTTGAGACTGATGCGGAAGCTTCAAATGGTGCAGAATGCGGCAGCCAGATTACTTAGTGGAACGGGAAAACACCAGCATATCTCTCCCACTCTGGCTGTCTTGCATTGGCTGCCCATTCATTTCCGCATTGATTTCAAAGTGTTAATGATGACATATAAAGCCCTAAACGGTTTAGGACCT